GGCCACGGGGCGGGGGAGGGGCCACTTTCCCCTGGGCTCCTTCCCGGTGTGGAGGAAAAAGTGGACCTTCCCTGTCCTGTGGCCAGCGCTTCGTGCTGCAGCTGCTCGCAGCCTGCGCAGGGCTGCCCTGAGCAGGCACAGGCAGGCTGAGAGTGGCTGCAGTGTGGGACGCCGGCCATGGGGCGGGCAAGAGGCTGCTTCCCCTCCTACCCCCTGCACTAAGCACCACCTTGTAACCCGACCCCACTGCCAGCCTGGGCCCCGTGTGGCTCCAGGCTTGCCTGTCAAGGTTGCGTGTGGCAACAGCGGCTACAGCCCCTCCCCACCTGCTGCACCAGGCACTGTTTGCCACGGCCACCTGTGGGCTGTCCAGCGCGTGCTCCAGACGGGCAGCAGCAGCCAACACTGCTCAGTATGGCATGTGGGGGGCTGCAGCTGCTGCCGCTGTGCGCAGCCCTGATGGGTGAGCCCGGAGCCAAGTTACAAGCTGGTGCTGAGTGTGGAGAAAAGCAGCCCTTCACTCGCCCTGTGGCCAGTGCCCCCCGCCGCCGCCGCCCGCCGCTCACGTGGGCGCGCCTCTGCCCCTGTGCCTGATCAGGACAGCCCCATGTGGGCTGCGAGCAGCTGCAGCAGGGAGCGCTGGCCATGAGGCAGGCAAGGAGCCACTTTTCCCTGCGCTCAGCACCAGCTTCTTCCCTGCCAGCGAGCAGGGAGTCGGGGCTGTGCACTGCCCCCTGCCTGTACCGTAGGGCTGGGGGGCACTGGGAGTGAGCAGGTGCGGGAGTCAGTGGGAGCACAGGGCCTGCACCAGTGTCACAGGGCCAGTGCCAGCAGGGCCTAGAGAAGGGTGACAGGAGTACAGGGTCCTGGCTGGCAGGGTCTCTATGGAGCCAGGCCAGCTCCCCCCTCTCCCTGCTGGTGCAGGCCAACCTGGCTCCCGCCCCTGCCAGCCTGTGCCCCACCGGTGCTGGCCCCGGGATATGGGACCAATGTCCCAATGTCTTAGGACCAAAGACATTGGGACATTGGTCCCAAGATGGTGACCAGGGGGCGGGGCACCTGTGAAGGGGCAGGGCTACACATGTGGCCCTCGACAGCGTGCCAGAACTGGGTAAGCGGCCCTCCACCCGAAATAATTGCCCCTGTTCTACTGCTACAGGGAAATGATAGAATTGTCAATAATGCAGAAGAATAGTCAATAATTATTTTTTGTTATCTGTATATTTACAAAAAAAGCTAGATAATGGATTTGTATCAGGAGTAGCCAACTTGTGTGGCCTGAGTGCTGCAAATGGCATGGACAGCCACTGTGTGTGGCACATGGTAGATCAAGGAAGGAATAGGAACCAGAGCATCAGAGAGGGCAGGGAGCACAGGGCAGGAAGCAGAAAAGATCAGGCAGGAAATATAGAATAGGGAGCAGAAAGCAAAGCAGAAGATTAGGTAGAGGAAGCAGACCAGAGCGGTACTCGGGAAGGATGAGGGGCTAATTTGTAGCACATCTACCAAAAAGGTTGCCACCAACTGGTTTATATCATGAGTTCTGTGCCTGAAGAGTTACACAATTATTAGTCAGCAAGTCTAGATAACTTGTACACAATCTGAACTTTAAGGAACTTTTAACAATGATTTTCAAGAAGTCTCAAAAGCCTAGGGGAACAGAAAAAGTTTGTAATGTGTCAATACTTGAAAAAGGTTGGGTGGGATAATTCACATAATTACTGGCCAGTCAGAGTGACCTCAGTGCTGGGCAAAATGATGGAAGTACTGCTAGAGTACTGGATTAATAAATAATTAAAGGAGAGTGATATCATTTGATGTCAGTCAGCATGGAAATGACATCTTTTGAGAAAGATGAGTTAGTTTTAATGAGATTAAAGGATTGGCTGATCAAAAGATAACAGTTTTGATAAAAACAGACTTGGCATATGCCAAGAGAGCCCAACCTTTTCATTAAGAAACATACAATATTACAAAAAGATGCACTTTATCACAAGTCATTTGGCAAACACTTCTTTGCCTGGCAGGCATGATGCATGGTCAGACTTTGAAGTCTGCCTCAACCACTGCTGGGCAGCAGCATATACAGCTATAAACAGAAAAAAACTGACTGCTGTTAGCCAGTCCCATAGTTAACAATTTCAGAGCTCTTATTAAACAGTCAACAAACTGACTCGCAGCTTGCTGATTGATTGATCGAGTCTGCTGGCCTTGTGATGGCTAAGGTAATTGTTCTGGAAGGAAGCAAAATGAGGGGCCAAAAGAACAAACTAACAGGCACACAATGCCATGCTAGTAGGACCATTAGTATTGCCATCAGTGGAAGATGGCAACAGGATTGAGCTATTTGTTGGTGCCATCCACAGACATCCTAAGTATAGCTCTATCTAATTAGAGTATTAAAGAGAAGGTAAAGTGATTTGATTACAGTTAATACCTACCCATGTGGAACACAGAAATTCTGTAACGGAGTGCTTTCTCTGGCAGACAAATATATAAAAATGATTTAATGGTTGGAAATTGAAACTAGACAAATCAAGACTTGAAACAAAGTGAAGGTTTGTTTGTTTTTTATCTTTAAAAAAACCCAGTAAGGGTTATTAGTTAGGGCTGTGTGAAACAGCGCCTTTTCATTTCAACGGAACAGCGTTTCGTTTAAAAACCGCTGTTCTGTTTCATCTCGCTGTTTTGACATTTTGCCCATAAGCTATAATGGGGAAACTCAAAACAGTCTGTAACTTTGTCATCATTTCTGGCCCGATTTGGAAGAAATGTGAAGGAATGATAGCCCCTTCCGAGGGCATGAAGCATGCCAAGTTTCAAGGAGATAGGCATAGGGGCTTGGGGGAAAACTGCACCTCAAGCTGCTGAGAAGCAAAACTCATGACATGGGTGACAGTGTGTGTGTGTTAAGGCGCAGTAGGGTGAAAGCTGCAGGGATGGTAGCCCCTGCGGAGGCCACGAAACCTGCCAGCTTTCAAGGAGATGGGTGCAGGGGCTTCTGAGTTCTAGGGCCCTGCACCTCTAGCTGCAGACAGGCAAAATTCGTAACATGGGTGCTTGTGGGACTGTGTCTGTCTTGCAGCATAGGGGGGTGAAAACTGCAGGCCTGCTAGGCACTGCTGCAGCCATGAAGCCTGCCAGCTGTCAAGGGGGTAG